AAATTCCCCCCTCTCCCAAATTTGACTGGTATTGATCCACAGATGGAGTGCAGAATGAATGAATTTTATTTATGCAGAGGTGAGCCGATGATTTTAATCATGCCACACATTTCCATTTTGTTTAGAAACCCAATCATAGCAGCAAACCAAACAAGAAAAGTCTCCTTGTTTTCTGAATGATGTTATTTGTTTATCTGCCGAAGTGCTTTGCATTTCCTCAGGTCACAGACCGGCCCATGTCTGGCTATGTTAATATTATAAGAGTTATGCAAAAGCAAAGTTTAAGAAAAATCTTTCAACTGAAAGAAATAGGATCTTAAAATCCCAAAATAGAGTATGGAAAGGTACACATCATGTCTGGCTTCTCTTTCCCCTTGTGGCAAATGTGACTCAAAGGAGTTGGGTTTTTTCCAGCTCGATCTGTATACAGTTTGGGGGAGTTTTATTGTGAATAGGTCACCTTATAATACACAAAAATATTTCCTTCCAGAGTTCTGTATTCATAAATCTTTCTCGATTCTCACTCTCTTGAAACTGAAATCCAGATGATTTCGTTTTCTTCACGGACAGGAGAGTAAGGGAACACCTTGGCGCGGGGCTGGTCCTCTGCTCTCGTCTCTGCCCGTTGCAGGGCATTGCACCCTCCCCTCGGGCAGCTGCGGGGCGAGCTTCTCCCTTCCCGCGTGATGAGCGGGAGAGTAGGACCGAAAAAATGAGACTTTAGAGCGGCTTGGTTGTTGAGAAAAAAAATGAATTTCAAAGTTATTATTTAAAAAATGTTTTAAGTCTTCACTTCTCTGTAGGGTTCTTTAAGGGTCGCTTTTACTCCTCCTTTGCTCCGCCAAAGAAAAGATCAGCGTTATGGTTAAATACTAAAGCAGCTGCCTAGCATAGTGGAGGTGAGCGTTTATTGAGAGTAATAGTCTCTCGTAGTTCAATTTTGAGGGGAGACGTATATCTGAAACATAACTTTAATGTGTTCTTTCATTCTAGCTCACAATCAATTTTTCTATATAAAAATGCAGCACAAAATATTAACTCATTTCTCTCCCTGCAAAGCAGTGTTAGCATCACTGTTCCCCTGTTAGAAATAAACAGAGAGGTTATATGACATGAATGGAGCTATGTAGTAAATTGGTGGCAGAGCTGGGTGTAAAACTCTGATTTTAAAGTTCCTGGAGCATTTCTGTGGGCTGTCCATCTTCATTTTTTGTTCCTAAGTCATCCTGATGTGTTCTTAGCAAGTGAAAGGTAGATGGAAATGCTTACGGTAAATGATCGCCTATATTACCCTTTAAAATGTAATCAATTAACTCAAGATAAGGACACACCCTTTTAAACGGGGATACTTGACTCTTTTACATGTATTTTTCTCTTTGTATTTGCTTTATAATGCTGTTTTGATTTTAGAGTGATGTCATCCCAAAGCACTGCCATAATGCCATAAATTACCAAATAATTACGTTACTTTCTTCCATTGATCAAACAACTGATTTAAAATCTGGTCCTGTGGAGGACCAGAAGGCCTTTTACTATGTGTTTTATACCCCCTCGTCCAGCAGATGATACAAACATTGCCATATGAACAGGCAATCAATTCCTCTCTTCTTTAAGTGTGTATACATTTATACAGACATGCACCCACAGACATACATGTTATTAGAAGATCATGAATAGTTTTGCCTTGGAAACTCATTCTATACATGAGCAAACACCACTTAAAATGACTTTTAAAGGTGGCCAGTATTAAAATCTGTGTACGTAGCCAGTTCTGTTACAGCTGCTACTGACTGTGCTCACTGGGGGCAAATTTTCTTCTCTAATTTATTATCTGTTTTCCTCCGTTCCAGTCTCCCACCTATAACTCTGGGATTTTGTTCTGCCAGGATGGAGGGTAAAGCGAAAGCTGCTTTGTTGTCACTGTAATAACCGTTCCAGTCCAAAGGATCCTCTCGTCATCTTAACTGGATCCACAAAAAATTACTCTGTCAGGCATGACAATAAACATACTCAGTACTTAAAAACTGCTCTTCTCTTCTTCCTCTCCCCTTGTAAAGACAAGATGGCTTTTGGTCATACAGTGGCTTTTCACCGAAAGCCAGGAAATCTTGGATTTTGAAAGTACGATACTTAGGATGAGTTTCAGTACAGCTCCCAGAGGAACCGGGCTTAATGGGCCTTCGTGGATAAACAGGGGATGATTCCTACATTCATGCCTGTTCCCGGTAGATCTATCATTTTGACCTCTGTGGCCTTTAATCTTCTATACACTCTATGCATTTCTAAATCTCCCCACGGCTGCCGTTGTATTTATCACATTCTTGGCAATGCTGCTTCTCCAGTACCAACCCTTGTGCTTGGAGTCCAGCTCCGCTCCCCCTCCACCTCGCTCCCAGAGCCAACTGGCATGTTTGCACAAAGCCTCGTACCCCATTTTCCTTCCTCACAATCTCCCAAAGCGCTTGTGCGAGTGAGCTGTCGTAGGTGTCTGAGCTGCGGCTGGGCTGGATTCTGTAATTCTTTCTTGCACAACCCCTACTTAAGGCCTGTTGACTTCAATGGAGCTATTCATGTAAGTGGAGGCTGCAAATTCGGGCCCTTGGGTTGTAAGGTCTCTGGGGCATAGACCCTGTCTTTGTACGCCTTGCAAATATGTGCTAGATGAGTAATGATAGCTCAGAAGAGTGAGTGTCGCTTTACATTTGCCATACTGGAGGAAGGTTGCCAGGATTGCATTGATGCTGCATGTGGTCCCCTTCCAGGGGGGAATTAATCCTTCTATGCAAAGATACCTCCCGCTGACTGGTGAAAAGAAAAAAAGGAAAAAAAAAAAGGTTTGGCCATGAATACCATTAGCTTAATCTTCCTTTTCTCTGATCTTCCTACTATTTGCTTTGTATGGCTTCATCAAGGTTTTGTATGTGGACAGAATAATTGAAAACAAATTTAGCATGTCTCAGACCATAAAGTTCCCTTTCAGCTAGATCACTGGCTATGCGGTAGATAAATGTCTGGTTTTCATTTTTGGTTATGTGAGAAATTTAGAATGGTTTGATTTGTAATTTTGAATGTTAATAAAGAAGGAGAAATTTCCTCGTCTCCTGGCCTATGGAGGCATTCTGGCTTTCTTGCTTCTCTTGCAGCAAATGCTGTTTATAAAAATGTTATTTAGTACAGAAGAGTCTGTTTATGTCCTTGAACCCTAGAGGCCCCAGTCTTTAAAGTCAACTAAGACCTCCTTCTGCCGGGTACTGTACAGTCACAGACCAAAAATGCCATCTCTACCTGTACAGATAGTATTTTAATGCAATGCAAGAGGAATGGCTGAAGGTCAACCAACAACTGGGGGAAGGATGAGTTTCAAAGAGCAGTGAATCAACGCCGGTCCACAGAAGTGATTTCAGAAGAACAAGAACATATTTGCTTTTAAGACTAAGAATTCTGCAGACAGGGAGATTTGTAGGGTGGAGATGTAGATACTGAAAGGGAACATCCTCCCTGGGGGAAGAGACTGAAGGGCAGAAAATGCAATGCTGTGAGTGTTTGAGAAGTTGATGCTGGTGTTTGGGGCTGGATTTGGGAAGCTTGGGAATAGATGTTGATAACTGGGTAGAAAATGAGAGGTAAGAGGGCAAAGAGAAGAGCAGAACTTTGAAGATGAAGGCAGGCAGCTTATGTCTGGTATGAGGGAGACAGGGGAAGCTGGAGAGATGTGAAACTCAGAGTGACTTGAGCGAAGTGAGAGGTTGGAAGGACAATCCTTCTAGCTGGGTTTGAAATGGGTGTGAGCTGGGGCAAGACTGCACGTGCCAAGGCCAGAGAAAGGAATGTGGCAGGGGTCATTAATTTCTGAAATGTTTATACATCGTTTAACATCTCAGTTCTCAAAATCTCAGACACATTCGCTAGATACTTCCTGTTTAGGGGGAAAAAACCTTATTTTTTAGCTGCAGTTGAAGGAGGATTGTATATTATTTTCACAGTCTGGGCCAAATTCAATAGACACATAAATGTGCAAAAGATTATTAACTTCCATTAAGGCTTGTAACAATAGGTACTTGGGTAAAAAATGACCTTATCTGATTCCAGGTCACTACTTAATTAGATGCCAGAGAATTATTACATGAGAGGTAGCAGGTGAGAGAAAGAAAGTACAAATTTCTCAACCTTGGGCAAAGCTAAATTAGCAGCTAGAACTTCTTAGACTCCAAAGTTGAGAGACAAATATATAGGAAGGAAGCATCATTAGTTGTTATTTTGCTGAGATGAGCTGAGCTGAGGCAAAGTCATTTTGCTGAATGTGAGGCTGGACAGAAACTAGGGTTTGCAAGTTGGATGTCACATAGGGACTGATTTAAAGCCCTCTATGTCAATGGGCATCTTCCATTAGCTTTGATAAGGTCCGGAGAAGTGCATGTGGGAGTACCACCTATATACCACATATATACCACATATATAAATGCAAGCGAGAGACTTTCTCCTGTCCTGACTGTGTGTCCTGCTGAGAGGAGGCAGGAAGCGCTGCCCAAGGCTGCAGGTGCGGGGAGTCAGCTCCGCTTTGCAGCTTTATCCACTCCACAGAGAAAAATCTTTTGAACCTCATTTAGGAATCAGTCACTGCAAATTAAACAAGTGTACTCAAAAATATACCTTTTGAGGGGATTTATCAGTCTGTTTTGGAGACAACCAACCAATTTCTGGTAATGGAGAGCTTGTCTGGAATTTTTCTTCTTGATATATTCTTTTTTTCTTTGTGATATATTTAGTGTTATAACGATTAATTACATGTTTTCCATTAGCTCTCTTCCCTATGTATCATGGACTCCGGCAAATACCCTTAAGAGGCCGTCTGTCTCTGAGAGTGGGAAA